AAAAAGTACAAAAGTGTACAAGTTATGTAAAAGTCACTTCATACGGCGGGTAGGGCACTTGTCTTTCACACAGCCAACCTGGTTTGATCCCTGGCATCCCGTATGATCCCCTGAGCACTGCCAGGAACAATTCCTGAACACAGAGCCAGGAGTAAGCCCTCAGCATCATGGGGGTACCAGCATCATTGGGTGTGGTACCCCCACAAAAAATAGATAAAAGTCACTTCATTTACTAGCCTGATGCAGGGGGTGTCCTCACTCTCGTGCTCTTTCTGCATGGAGGGATTGGAAAGACTTGATTTGACTTTGACTTTTAGGCCATTTCTAATTAGTCCACAGCGTTACCATCTTCACCGTTAGATGCAGAGAAACGGGGCCTGGAGAGGCTCCTCGGCTCTTCATCCGAAGTGTTACTCCTGGCCACTGGGATGGAAGGGTCACCCCGACTGATGGGAACTTGGGCACTGACTCCCCACTCACTGGACTGTCCCCGCTCTCCACTGTGGGGAAATGCTGCCACATGGGAACCCTTCGGGTGATAAGCGCTAAGTTTTGGGTTAAGAACTCACAGGAACTTTGCCTGAAGAAGCCACAGCAGGGGACAGAGGCAGGCGTGGCCCAGTTCCCTGCTCTGCTGTGTGGCTGGGCTGTGGACGTTGAGGGCCGCTCAATATCCCCGCAGCGCCCCCAAGCCTAATCTCTGCCCAGTTAAGGGCCTCAGCCAGGAGGTCACAGGAATCTGGGGGTCCACGCAACAGTGTCTGCGCCCCAAGTGGAGGGAGGCTCCACTCCCTCGGGCCCTGACCCTCTTCCCGTCCATGACTCTCCCTGACTCAGGCCCTTGTGCCCTTGGCTTGGGGCAGAGGCGGCTGTGTATGATGCTCTGGGCCCAGTGCTCCGGCCCCTCGTGAAGGAGGCACTGGGCAGTCTCAGGTGAGCTGGCACACCATCATCTCCCATAGACCGCTCAGCCCAGGGAGATGATCTTCGGATGACCAAACCTTTAGTCAAAGTGGAAAACTTTAGGCCTGGCGTCTCCCACTCACTTCCGCAGCCAGCATCACCAGAGTGCCACCTCCTCTAGAAAGACTTCCTGGGTCACTTCCTGGGTCACTTCCCTCCTGCCCTTGCACTGCCATCCTGCTGGATCAGAAAAGACTGTTCCCTGGGGTCTGAATTTCCAGTTAGTCCTGGGCTCCCGGGAGGCTGCCTCACTCACTTTGTGGGCCCCACCTGCATGCTGGGCCTGGCCTGTTGCAAGCCTGAGACAGATGTTTGGCGCCTGAGTAAAGGTACAGACACCAGGGTGCTTGAGATCCCCGTGCCGGGCCTGCAGGGAGGGAGTCCCTGCGTACTGGGCCTGCTGTTGCCCAACCCTGACCCTGGAGCTGACGAGCCAATGAGGCATCACTACAATGTGGGCCCCATGACTGTGCTGGGCTCTTCCTTCCCCGGGACGGCCGCCTCCACCCACAAGGGCGGTTGCCAGGGACTCAGAGCAAGGAAGCCCCCAGGTCCCTGCGGGCCCTGTACCCAGAAAGCCAGTTCAAACATGAAGCTTCCCCAGCCGAGCACTCACTGCCTCTGTGTCATTAGATGGAGCACTCACCGCCTCTGCGTCCTTAGCCGAGCACTCACTGCCTCTGCGTCCTTAGCCAGAGCACTCACCGCCTCTGCGTCCTTAGCCGAGCACTCACTGCCTATGCGTCCTTAGCCAAGCACTCACTGCCTCTGCATCCTTAGCTGAGCACTCACTGCCTCTGTGTCCTTAGCCGGAGCACTCACCGCCTGTGCGTCCTTAGCCGAGCACTCACTGCCTGTGCGTCCTTAGCCAGAGCACTCACTGCCTCTGCGTCCTTAGCCGAGCACTCACTGCCTGTGCGTCCTTAGCCGAGCACTCACTGCCTCTGCATCCCTAGCCGGAGCACTCACCGCCTCTGCGTCCTTAGCCGAGCACTACTGCCTGTGCGTCCTTAGCCGAGCACTCACTGCCTCTGCATCCTTAGCTGAACACTCACTGCCTCTGTGTCCTTAGCCGGAGCACTCACTGCCTCTGCGTCCTGCCGTGACCCGTCATGAGACAGCACTTCCCGTGGCAATCTGGTGTGCTCTCGGCTCAGTCCTGGCACTGCTAGCTGGCTGGTCTGGGAGGCCCAGGGGCGGCACAGGGGAGCAGCACCAGAGGCGCAGTATGAGCCCTGGCATGCTTCCTGCTTTGGGGAGGGTTCACCTCAGCTGCCATCACCAGGCTCACCTGGTTAGGTGGTAAGTTGACCCAAAAAGTTGGGGAGTGGGATTCTGTGGGTGTGTGGCTCCAGAGAACAGCCAGCTCAGAAGCGGTTCATGATGGCAGACCCATAGCTGAACGGACCCCAGAGACGCTCTCTCCACCCACCGGGACCCTGAGCAGACACTGGGGTCCCCCTGGGAATCACACCAAGTCCACACTGCCGGACCATGTGTCAGTGTCCTCGTGGCCTGTGGCCCCCACACGCACGGGGCTGATGGCTCCCGTTCAAGCTGCCAAGTGATCACTATGATTGGCTGCCAGGAGATCAGGCCACCCCCCAAAACCAAGAGCAGAGACAGACAAAGGGCTGTGCTTCCCAGTTTTCTGGGTCCCAAGGTAGAGGAACACCTCCTTACACCCCCCCACCCAGCCTTCTTTTGCACAGCAAATCCACATCAAGGGGGGTACCTGCCCCCCTGTGAGCTCTGGTCTGAGCAGGATCTGGGGTCCACCTGACCATCCCCAGGGTGAAGATCACTCCCAGGAGGGCCCTGAGGGACTCCACACAGGAAGCGGCAGCTCTGTATGTCAACAGGGCAGATCTCAGCTGCAGGGGGGCCCCTGCACCAGGGGGTCCCAGGGACAGCAAGGACAGGATTCAGGATGGGGGCCCTGTACCCCCCACACCCTTCACTGCTGTCTCTCATCTGAGGGAAGGTGAGCCAGGGGACCCCTGGGAGTCTGCGGTACCCCTCCCCACCCAGCAGCTCTGCAGACCCTCACCTCCCCACCACGTCTGGAGTTCACCTGAGCTACAGGAGTTGGGGCACCTGTCTTATCACTATGCTGTCCACTGTCCCTGGCCTGTCATTCCTTTAAAATGAAAAACGAAACACTCTCAAAAAACTGTTCTAGAATATTCTGTCTGACCCCGTCAGGGAGAGTGGCATCCATGCTGCTGCTGGGACGGCCGTCCAGGGGGTGGGGGAGAGCTAACAGGGCTAACAGGGCCGCACGGCTGATCAATCGGAGAATGACCAGACGGCATGGCAGCCACCTGGCACGGGGAGGGTCAGGGGCGCAGGCAGGGAACCACGTGACTTGGGAGGCGGGTCTTGACTGCCACAGCCCCCGTGTGAGGTTCAAGGTTACCCCCAACCCCCCACTTTCCCTCCATCCCCCAACTAGAGACGTGCCAGCTGTCCATTTGTAAACGTATCTCATCCCAAGGGAGGGGCGTTGGCCGTCAGCTCTGGGCACCGGTGCTCGTGCTCCACGGGGACCGACAGACGCGCCTGCGCCCGTGTCAGGGCCAGCCAGAGGCTGCCCGCGCCTGCCCAGTGCCACGGCCCCTGGCCTGCAAAATCAGGGCGGGAAGAGCAAAATTCAGCCGGCAGATTCAGGTTTCCCAGAGTCCGGCAGCCACCCCGCCGCGGCCAGAGCACACTTGTTTACAGGGTCACCAACGTGACCAGACACCGTCCCCAGACCCGCATCTCATTCCTGACCCCCAGGCCCGGGTTCTGGGACCCAGCTACCCAAAGCGTAGCCGCTGGGAACTCTCCCCGACCCAGCAGCGCGGAGCCACTCTGCACAGTTCTGTCCCTTCCTCTTGTTCCCGCCGCTACCATCCTGGCTGCCCAGCCGGACTCTCCTCCAGAGCGCTCCTCCCCTCGTGCTGCTTTCCCCCAAGGGCTGGCCCAGAACCTTCCATGAGTTCCTGCAGCCTTCCAAGTGGTGCCCAGTCGCGCTGAGGCTGCAAACTTCCTCCAGGTCCAAACGCACGTTATTTCACTCCCTCCCTGGCCCTGTGCTGTGCTCCTTCCTCTTGGAAGGGCCCTGGGGGCATCTCGGCCTCCTCCTGATGGTGACCCAGTCTAGCCATAAACTCTGACCTTCAGACAGGCCTAGGTCAGAGAAAGGAAGGGGGGGGGGGGGGGACATGAGAGTCTCTGGCAGGGCCGCCAGGGTGGGAGAACCTGAGGGCAGGCTACAGACCCGCACCGGACAGAGCTCCTGGTCGGCCACGGTTTCCAAACCCATCTAATCCTAAGAATCACTTGAGGGGCCTCGCCCCACGTGTGGGCTGTACAGTGGGGCGCAGGGCTCGTGTGTGGTGGGTGCAGCAGGAGATCCCCAGGGCCAGAGACTGAGCCCAGGCGCTCCCGCACCGGGAGCGGGTTTTGCGCTGCGGTGGGAGTGCTGCGCACCTCTGTTTGGGCTGTATCTGGGCATCCCTCGCCGGGAGAGGCGGGTAGGGGAGCCCAGCGGCCGGCCACGCTGTCCTCCGTCCTCCCCCGACCCTCTTGGCACCAGCCCGCACGCCCCCTTCCCCAGCGCCCCTGCGCTGTCCTGGCCTCTGCGAGGCACCGCGCCCGCAGTGTGCCAGAGTCGCGCCCCGCGTTCCTGCCTTGAATCAACAGGTGGGTGGACGAGCTGCCCTCCGCCTCCCCGCGAGTCCCTGACGCCCTTGTTTTCCTCCTGGGTGTGGCCCGCCCGTGACTTCTCTCCCAGCTCTGCGCCCTTAGGTGGAACCAGGCTCCCGGCTCCCAGCGCGGGCGGATCCGTAGCCGGGACCAGGGTGCCCGGGCGCCCCCGAGTGCGGTCCCTGGGCTGGGTGCGCGCCCTGCGCCCTCGACGGTGCGCACCGCAGACTCCCGCCCTGCCTGGGGTGTGCGCGCCCGCCAGTCGCACGTTCGGGCCGAGCCTCCGGAACCTTCCGGGGCACCTGCCCCATCCCCGGCGCCGCGCGCGGCTGGGCCCGGCTCACCCAGGCCGGCAGGTGCTGGCCCCGCAGCTCGCGGCTGATGAACTGGCGTTCGTTGTCGAGGAACTCGAAGGCGGCGGCCAGACGCCCGAGCTTCCCGCGGCGGTTCCTGCGCCACCACATCCAGAGCGCGGCGCCCAGCAGCAGCCAGATGATGCTGAGTCCCAGGTAGCCGGCGAGGTAGACGGGAGCCAAGTAGAAGAGCACGCGCGCGACGAAGGTGTAGAACTCGGGTAGCAGCTGGCTGGACAGGCGCGGCCGGGGCCCCCGCGCGCCCTGGGCACCCTGCGCTCCCTGAGCACCCGGGGCGCCGGGGTCGCAGGGCTCCTCCCCGTGCATCCCGTCCAGGGCCCTTCAAGAACTTCAGCAGGGCTCAGGTCTGCGCACCCCGACGCCAGGGCACATAAGTCCCAGCCGCCGCGCCGTGCCCGCCTGCTCCGCGCCGAGTCTTCAGCGCCCGGGAACGCGGAGCTCGGGAACTCGGCGCTTCTCTCCGCCTGGTGCGGCTCCCGGTGACTCCGCCCAGGGGCGGGGCATGGAAGGGGCGTGGTCTCCGTGGGCTTGACAGAGAGGCGGGGTTATGGGGCAGTGTTTGGGGGCGGAGCCACGAGGGGCGGGGCCAGGTGTAACTGGCGAGCAACTGGCGGCCCAGCCAGCGCAGCCGGACGTTGCGCGCAGGCGCCAGCAGAGGTCGCTGTTACAACACGCCGGTAGAAACCCCGGGTGTAGTGGGTGCTGCCCCGGCGGTTTATGACTCAGGGAGGCACGTGCTCCAGTCATGAATAAACGTCACCGAAAACCATTTCCTGTACCCAGTCTACACTGTGCAACCGCGCGTAGGCTCCTAGCTGGGCATTCGAAGCTGCCACGGACCGGCTTGGCGGTCCTGTGTCCTTCCGCACCCCCACCCCTGGAAAGCTTAGATCCAGTCTCCAGGCCCCTGGTAAAGCTCAGAGACTCCAGCACTTACTGACCCTGGGAAAGGTCCTTAACTTCTACCCGCCAGGTAGGTAACTTGGAGTTCACAGGTCAACCATGGGGTGATTGTGAGGGTTAATACAAGGCCTGTTGCAAACAACAGCAATAACAGCAACTGCACTGCACTGTCCTCTCGTTGTTCATTGATTTGCTTGAGCGGGCACCAGTTAACGTCTCCATTGTGAGACTTGTTGTTACTGTTTTTGGCATATCGAATATGCCACGGGGAGCTTGCCAGGCTCTGCTGTGCGGGAGGGATACTCTCGGTAGCTTGCTGGGCTCTCCAAGAGGGATGGAGGAATTGAACCCGGGCCGGGGGCGTGCAAGGCAAACACCCTACCCGCTGTGCTATCGCTCCAGCCCAACAACAACAACAAAAGCAACAAAGATGTTACAGCAGGTAAGGCACTTGCCCTTATCCAGTATGATCCCTGAGTACAGAGCCAGGAGTAAGCCCTGAGCACCACCAGATGTGGCGCCCGCCACCCCTCTCTCCCCCAAAAAGACATGGATGGGAAAGATATGGCTCAATGAATGGGCTGAGCATTGCATAGAGGAGTTCATGTTCTGACCTGGCACCCCACAGTTCCCATAGCAGGGAGGCACACCTCCAGGTGTGGCCCCAAAACAAATTCCAAAAGGGCCAAAAGATGAAGTAAGGCAATTTCCTTTCATACGGTGGCCCTGGTTTAGTCCTTCCTACAGCCTGTGGTTCCCACACCACAGCTCCAGCACATCAGGGGCAGTCACGCTAAGGGGGAAGGACAGTGGCCAGGGGACAGCCTACACTGCGGGGACAGGGACCAAGGGAGAAGTGTCCCATGGCACAGACCCTTGAGGCCACAGTGAGACTCATCTCACGGCCCAGGGAATGGCGTAAAGGCTTGTCTGACACAAAAGCAAGCAAGTCCTCACGATGTGGAGAAGAGACTCGGCACGTTGTTGATGGGTTGTAACTGGTATGGTCTCCTAGAGACCACACTGAAATTCCTTTAAGAGAATTTCTTTTTCAGAGGGAGTAGGCTTGGGGGTTGAGGAGCTTGCCATGCACACAGTTAACCCCTAGTTTGATCCCTGCATCACCTGATCTCCTCAGCACTTGACAGAAGTGACCCCTCAGCACAGAACCAGGAATAACCCGAGTACTGCCAGGTGTAGCTCCTAAACAAAAAATAAATAACTTGATGAATAAAGAAAACTGTAATTATTCCGTATAATTCAGCAACACCGATGGATTTTATTTCATTTATCTGAAGACTCTGGAAACAGTCTTTTGAAAGAGTATTTGCCTGTGACAACACCGGTGTCTTTCTTCAGTTCCCGGATGGCTCCTGCAGCCCATCGCCAGGGGAGCAAAGAGAGAGGCCGTGGTCCATGAGGCCAGTGCTACTTCGCCACTCCGAAAGATGAAAGATGAAAGATGATGGTGGGGATACAGGGACAGCCGAAGACCTCCAGAACCAGCCACCACCATGCTGAGACCACTCTCCACAGGCATGAAGGTACCAGCAGAGGAACAAAGGCATGCGGGTCCTGGGGCTGAGATCTCCAAGCCTGCTTGGATCGGGGCTGAGCATCCTCCACCCAAATCCTCCACATTCCAGTAGGCAGGGGTCACACCCACCAACTGGCCCCCTGGCACCGTGTAATCCCATCAACGGCCAAGACCCAGAGACTATAAAACCCAGCTCCCAGAAGTGACATCTTATTATCTCGTTCTTGCTTTGGACAACCTGGCAGGCTACCGAATGTAACCTGCCCACATGGCAGAGTCTGGCAAACTCTCCGTGGCGTACCCTATATGCCAAATACCAGTAACAATGATGGGTCTCATTCTCCTAACCCTGGAAGAGCCTTGAATATAGCACTTTTTAAAAAAATCTCAGGGCTAGGATGAAGGAGACGTTACTGGGGCCTGCTAGAGGCAATCGACGAACAACAGGATGGTCGTGATCGTGATCGTGATCTAAAGACTCTGGAAACAAAACTCTTTTGAAAGAGTATTTGCCTGTGACAACACCGGTGTCTTTCTTCAGTTCCCGGATGGCTCCTGCAGCCCATCGCCAGGGGAGCAAAGAGAGGGGCCGTGGTCCATGAGGCCAGTGCTACTTCCTCACTCCGAAAGATGACGGTGGGGATACCCGGACAGCGCGAGGGTTAAGGCCCGCGCCTGCCTTCCAGCTAAAACTAGTTAGATCTCCAGCATGGCACACAGTCTGCGCACAGTGCCAGGAGTGTCCCTGAGCATTGTTGGGTTTAGCCCCCAAACAACAACAACAAAAAAGGTGAAGTTGTGTCTTTGGGGACAAAATGGGTGGAACTTGAGATGATTGCACGGAGTGAATAAGTGAGGATGGGAAAGTTAGTTCTTGGGAGATTTCACTCCTAGGGGGATATGGATAATGAAAGCAAGCAGACAGCAAAGCCAGCTCACTCCTGAGCTTGGGGGAAAATTTGGGGAAGAATGAGTGGATGGGCCTGGAGATGGGTTCATCGACTCCTGATACACAGGAAGAGATATTAAGCTCCCCCTGAAATTTTAAACTACTAAATTAGTAAAAGGGAAAACACAACAATAATTAACATTTTATATTTTTCTAAATCTTCCTCCTCCTCTTCTTCCTCCTCCTCTTTCTTCTTCCTTCTTCCTTCTTCCTTCTTCCTTCTTCCAAGCCACAGCCTCTTTCAAAACTTGTTTTTATGAAGTGATCATTTAAATTTTCAATTTAATTTACATTTTAAAATGAATTGGCACAGATGTGTCCTTAACACTCTTTCCTGAATGCCTGTAGGATGTGCAGTTACTCTTCTTTTAAAGTCTTGTCCCAGGTCTTTTTGTTTTCTATTTTAAAAATTTTCCCTCAATCTTATTAATTTTTATTTCTCTTTTCAAATAACCAATTTCTTTGGACTTATTCTATTCAGTATATGTCTGTCTCTTAGTCCAGTGATTCTACTTCTGTCTTTATTTTCTTTCTTCCTCTGGTTTTGGGGGTTTACTTTGCTGGATTTTTTTTCTTTGAGATAGAAATGAAGATAATTTCAACTTCTCTTCTATCTCCTCCTAGATTCCCCTCTAAAAACAGCTTTAACCGTCTCCCACAAGATTATAAGTAACAAATAACTAACATTTCTTTAGATCATATTTTTTCAAAGCATTGCATTAGAAAAAATGCATTTTCTAGTTTAGTAAGCATTATTTGAATAGAATAAAAAACTCAAGTCTGAAAGGTGTGATTTGACAACTTTTTACCAAGCACACATTCCCGCGGCCACATTTTCCAGATATGGGGCATCTTTATCACTGCAGGAAGTTCTCTTGCACTTCTTAGTTAATATCCATGTCCACGTATACATGTTTTGTTTCTATTACCATTAATGAGATGTGCCTATTCTTTCCCTCCCTCCCTCCCCCTCTCTGTTTTGGGGTCACAGCTGGTATTTAGAGGTTACGCCTAACTTGGGGGGGGGGTCCCTGGTCATTCTGGGATGGATTCTGGGCCTCCTTCAGGCAAAGCCAGTGCCCAGTCTGTAGATCTGTCTCCAATTCCAAATATGTGTCTGTCCTTTCTTTTCTTTCTTTCTTTTCTCCTTTTCTTTTCTTTTCTTTTCCTTTCTTCCTTCCTTTCTTCTTTCCTTCCTTCCTTTGTCCCTCCATCCCTCCCTCCCTCTCTCCCTCCCTGCCTTCTTTCCTTTCTTCCTTCTTTTCTTTTTTTTTCTTTTTGGGCTATACCTGGCAAGACTTAGGGGCTATTCCTGGCTCTGCACTCAGGAATTACTCCTGGTGGTGCTTGGAATAATGGTGCATCCCACATGGGATGCTGGAGATCTAACCTGGGTCGGCCATGTGCAAGGCAAACGCTGTACTATTGTTCCAGCCCCAGGATGTGCCTTGTGTCTGGCTAATGTGTCACCTGTGTGTTTCTGATATTTCTCTGGGAGGCTGCAAGTGTGAATATTTTTTAGTGCTACATAATAATCCATACACATTCTACACATGAAAATTCTAAAACTAGTTGATCTAGTCTCCTAAAGATAAAAACTTGAATTTCCCCCCACTAGTCTGGGGCTATTAGGGGGGAAAAGAGATGGCAGTGGGAATATTTGGACGGGTCTCTAGGTGGCCAAGTGTTGGCCCAGACTAGTGGAAAGTTGCTTGGTCTAAGGATTTGCAGGTTTTCAGTCTTACCAGCTACTTGCCAATGTTTCTAAATTTTACATCACAATGTACTAAATGAGCATTAACTTGACATTTTACAGATGTATGTAATTTTATATGTTTGTGTATGGATATATCCATATTGACAATCAGTTGTTTTTTAAATTTATCTGTTTAATTGACAGTAAGGAGTTCTCATGTT